ATATGTATTTAAAAAAAAAAAAACTCTGCTATAAAATAATTCACGTACCAAAATTTGGAAATGATCTGGAGTTACTTGATGGAATAGATTCTCCAGGCTTACTTGGTGAGGAAGAATTACAGATACCTGTAATCAAAAGAAAACACCAGGGGAACGAAGAAAATAGACTCATATTATTGTTCATCAGATTTCATAATTGTCAAGATTAAACATCCTCCAGAGTAATTATACTCCCAAATAAATATATCAGTATCAAATGTTAGCAAAAATATACTTACAATGGTTGACACAGTACATAATGTTGTTTGTATACATTTATAAAATCTTCCTGTGTGTTTGTTTTGTTTTAATGGTTTTTTTTTTTAATTCGTAATCAGATGATACAGAAAATCCTAACACTAAAGAAGAACTGCTAAAGGAATGAGATCCATTATATCCTGAATCAGCTTTTGGGGGATTCACACATTTTAGCTTTGGACTTTGTCCTCTACTCTGACCACTCCTCGTACGCTTCTAAATCTTCACCTGACCTATTCATCTACATTGAGTCTGTGATTTTTCTTACATTATCCTCTACATCTAGAATCTCTCCTCACTTTGAAGCCTATTTTTTTCCAATTATAGGTGATACTAAATTAGATCCGTAGTTTCCCAAAAGCCTTATTATGTTATGCTGCTTTATTTTGGTATTTGAGTTACTTACATGTGGGTTTAAAAATACATATTTGTCTTCCCAGTGCCTGAATGTACAAGGTATGTTTCTCCCTGTTCTTTTTCCCCCTGCCCAGTTTTTACAACAATCCAATAAAAACTAGTCCACATCTTCACACATGTACTGTCTTGCAATGAAGATAGATAAATTCAGTTTGAATAAATTTTCTAACAAACAGCATGCCTATAATCCCAGCACTCGGGAGGATGAGGGAGGAGGATTGCCCTGAGTTTGAGTCTAGCCTGGGCTACACAGTAAGTTCAAAGCCAGCCTGCACTACATAGCAAGATCCTGTCTCAAAAAAAAAAAAAAAAAAAAAAATCTAACAAACAGTGTATAAATGGGAAGAGTGCTTTTTGGGTTTTGGTTCTGGGGATCAAACTCAGGACCTTGCACTTGCCAGGCAGGCAATTGTGCTGCCGAGCTACGTCCCTGGCCCTGAGATTATTAAATATTCTCATTTTTGTTTTCAACATTTCAGAATGCAGTATGAGAACTTCATGTATGTGCTAGCAATGCATACGTAAATATTGAAGGGTTTTGGGGGGAGGACAAGGGCCTTGGGCTTGCCAGGCAAGCCCTGTGCTGTTGAGCTATATCCCCAGCCCTGCGTTCCTGAATATTAAGACTACAAACACCTTCCGTTCTGGGAGATACTTGAGTATGATTTACTAGAACACATAGTAGATTTCAATCATAATCAATTAAATATATGTTTATTGATACTGTGTAACAAGCATTGGGCTAGGCACTGAACAGATATAAATACAAAGTGGATGAAATGAGGAAGTTCAGGAGACAGCAATCTCTTAACTGTATGTGGACTGGGAATTTGCTTATTACAAAGGAGGCAAAGATCCTGCGCGTGTATACTGGAGGGAACTGCTATTTTACATATTGACATACCTTAGATATTTTCTAAAAATGTAAAAGTAGGTATGCAAATCATAAAATATATACAAAGAGCTGCTAGAACTTACAGTACATACACTTATCAGTGCTACAAGATTAATGTTCTGGTGAACTGTAAAAAAAAAAAAATCAACTGCTATTTTTCTTGTTGCTGAGATAAAACCTGATATCCCAAGTTAAAAGGAGGGTAATTTTTAGAGTACATAACCTAAAAATCTTTGCTAGCTCTTATCATAAGATCAGCTGGCAAAAATATTTCTCCCATTCTTAGGTTGTCACTTTACTCTGTTGATTGTTTACTTTGTTGTACAGAAACTTTTTAGTTTGTTGTAATCCCATTTGTTGATTCTATTCAAGACGTCCTTGCCTATGCCTGTGGCTTCAAGTGTTTCCCTAAGTTGTTGTCCATCATTTCAATATTTCTATTTGTATATCTAAGTCTTTGATCTGTTTTGATTTATATTAGAATAGGGTTCAACTTTCTGCAAGTATATAACCAGTTTTCCCAGCACCATTTGCTAAAGAGGCTGTCTATTCTCCAAATATTTTGGGCCCCTTTGTGAAAAATTAAATGCCTGAAAGTGCATGCATTTGTTTCTGTTTTATGTCTTAATCCTTTGGTCTACATGTCTATTTTTATGCCAGGATTGTGCTGTTTTTATTAGATTTGTAGTATAACTTAATAATCTGAAATTATGATGTCAACATTTTGCTCTTTTGTTTAGTATCCCTTTGACTATTCCGAGTCTCTCTGGTTCCATATAAATTTTAGGATTTCTTTTTCTAGTTTAGTAAAGAATATTGTTGATCATTTAAAAGAGATTGTATTGACATAGATTATTTTCATAATATAAACATTTTAATATGAACTCTTGCCTATCCAGGAACAGAAATGTCTTTCCATTTACTTACATCCTCTTTGACTTCTTTCTTCAGAGTTCTGTAGTATTCATTATGGAGGTCTTTCACCACCTTTCTTAGGTTGATTCCTATTATCTTTTTTTTTTATGCTATTGCAAAAGGGATTGTTTCCCCTGATTTCTTTCTTGGTGGGTTCCTTATTGGTGTACAGGAACATTATTGATTTTTCTTGGTTTTTTGTTTGTTTTGCTGGGATTACAGTTGTGTGCCACCACACCCAGCTAACACTGCTAATGTTTATATATTAATACATATCCTGTCTCTTTGCAGAATTTGTTCATCAGCTCTAAGTCTTATGGGGAAGTATTCTTGAGGGGAGTCTTTTATATATAAGATCATATTGTCTGCAAATAGAGATAATTTGACTTCTTTTTCTTTTCTTTCTTTCTTTTCTTTTTTTTTTTTTTTTTTTTTTTTCAGAACCGAGAATTGAACTCAGGCCCTTGTGTTTGCCAGGCAAGCACTTATTCTACTGAGCTATCTCCCTGGCCCTTGACTTCTTTGTCTATATATATTCCTTATATTTGTCTTTCCTGATTTCTCTGGATAATGTTTCAAGTACTGTATTCAACAGTGATAATAGCAGAGATTCTTGTCTCTTTTTTTTTTTTCTTGATGAATAAGTTTATTGGTCTTTATCTGAAAAATCTTCATAGAAATTTGGTTTAACTCTCAGCAGCACACTCCTGAGCTCTGAGGAAGCTTGCCTTCTTTTGAGTTACCCGGTCTTTCTTCTGGGCAAGAGACATTTTGGGACGGTTCCACCTCTTCTTTTTAACTTCTCTCTTCGGCTTCTTTTCATAGACTGGATTCTCTCGTACAGCAGCATGAGTTATACATCTCCTCCATCATGTCTGGAGTTACATTGTTCTTTATGTACTGAGAGAACTGTTTCTTGTAAGCATCTTCATCTTCTTCTATTAGGTAGTGCATATAGTCTGTGACATTCTGACCCATGATGTTCTTCCGATGTACTTCTGCATTAAACTCCTTGCTTTCAGAGTCATAACCAGGGATCATTTGGTACTGTGAGGGATAGACAGGCCTTCATCCATGGCAGCCTTTAGGGCTCCAAAACCTTATTGCCAGTTGCAGTTCTGGCGAGGCCTGCATCCAGGTAGCAGGTGAAGGCACCAGGCTTGCCATCAGTGCTTTCCACACTGTGTTCATCTCCAGTCACCTCCACCTGGCCTTCGTAGATCTTATCCAGGCCAAACCTATTGAGCAGCCTGCGGGCCAGCAGCAGGCCAGAACAATATGCTGCAGCAGAATTTGTTAGACCAACTTTCACACCATACTTTGGTAGTTCATGTGCGTATGCCGCACAGACTATCATATCCCCTTCAATACGGGCATAAGCAATCTGACAAATGATCTCTCTGTTAGTTACACGAACTATCATCCTGTATTTAGGCGTGTTGTACTTATTTTTGTCCTGTATTACCAAGCGTTTCCTAGCATAGTAATGAGTTTTGCCCTCTCGTCGTCTTCTAAACTTCACATGGTATCTCTTAATGTAGGCCTTATTCTTGACAACCTTAACAAAACCCATCCTGTGTAATATAGACCCGCGTCTGCGGTCCTACACAGACCTGCAGGCCAAGCAGCACCACAGGGGGAAAAAGCTCTTGTCTCATTCTTGATTTCAGACAGAATCTTTTTAGCTTTTTCCCATGATGTGGGCTGTGTCATACATGGTTTTTTTTTATCAGTTTGAGGTAATGTAATATTCTTCTATTCCCATTTTCATCAGGATTTTTAATCATGAAGAGATATTGGATCGGGGGGGGGGTGCACACCTATAATTACAGCACTCAGGAGGCAGAGGCAGGAAGACTACCACAAATTTGAGGCCAGACTGGAAAAAATAGTCAGATCCTGTCTCAAATAGCAAAATAAGAGAGGGAGGAGGGGAGAGAGAGAGATTAGATATTCTCCAAAGTTTTCTCTGCATCTATTGAGATGATTATGTGATTTTTATACATCCTTCAATTTATATGCTACGTTCCACTTACTGATTTATGTATGACAAAATATCTTTGCATACTTGAGATAAAGCCCACTTGTTTATAGTGTATGAGGATTCTTGAACCCTGTTCATCAAGGATATTAGCCTATAGTTTATATTTTTGAGTCCTTGTTGAGTTTTACTGTCACAGCTGTCTTCCTGAAATGAGTTTGAAGAATTTTTTTTTTCCCTTTCAGTTGTGTGGCAAAGTGTGGGAGCATTGGCATCAGTTCTTCTCTAAAGTTCTAGCAAAATTCAATAATGAAACAGAAGACCCAATGCTATTATGGGCTTCTGTACTCTTTTAGAATATTTTGCTGAGTTTACACACCTATAATATTCAACAACGGAACTTAAAAAAAAATTGGGGTATAACTATGAATGTCCATTTTGTATCTGTGTATTCAAAGTGGTTGGGATAGATATATAGTTGCATTCTCTTAATGAATAGAATGATTTTTTCTAATGGTGTTTGTAAGTAGGGTCACAAGTCTGCATCTTGTACAGCAATTAACCACTAAGAAGAATATATGCAGTGTATTATTTGTTGAAACTGTACTTTCGATTTGATTT